ACATTATGGTTTTCTATTTACTGTTATGTTTTAAATTCATATTTCCAATTCTGTGTTTAACATACACCTGAAGCTTTTGACATCCAAAATTCAAACTTTAAAAGTCAGAAAATGTTTTGTAATTATATTATTTTGCAGTAGATTTATGATTAAAGTAAGTTTAATGTTGATATTTTAAAGCTTATCATGAAATCCCTTTCTATACAAAATGTACTTTAGTCAGTCTAACTCAGGCTTTTACTAGTCTGAGTGAAAAGTGATTTTCATGTTAAGAATGAAAATACTTTTTTGATCTTACAGTTTTTCAGATTTGATTTGCCTAACTTCTAGAACCTCCTAAATGAATATCAAAAGTTTCTTTTCCCTAAACTTTATATTCAGAAATGTTACTCATCTCTCTTCAACCTGTTACCTCATGCTCATTGCCGTGTAATTTCCTGCACATGCCACAAGCCTTGAACAAAACTACTACTCCTACACATGTCCGTGTGTATTGCATCAGCCTATGAAGTAATTAGCCTTCCACCAATAGGAGGGCAACACATCCTCTATGAACAGTAATCCCCATGAGAACTAGCATGTCAACACAGGCTCATTCTTTCCTTGACACTGCTAGCGTTCAGACATATTTTTTCTTGTGCTTCTTTTTAGCTTTGCAAGATTTGCATGACAATTTGGTCTTTTACTTTGAGATTTTTTTCTTTGTCTCATTCAGTTTGTTTTAGAGTCCTTTTTATGTTGGACTTAATGTACTCTCGTTTATTTATACATCTTATATACATAAAAAAAAGACAATCAATGTTGATTCATGAGTTGTTTTAGATAATGAATTCTTTGAACCATATTTCTGCTACCTTCCAAGGCCCTGATACTAAACTCCATGATTGTCTTCATGCTGTTTAATGGTAACTGGAGGCATTCTGTCTGTCAAAAATGTTACTGCCATTGTACATACATCAGGGAGTTAGTACTTTTCTGCCTCATTCATCTTTCCTCCAAGATCTTTGTTATTCTGTTTCTGTTAAGCCTACCTCATCTAATGATGACTTCAAACAGCTTTTCACTTTGCTTGCTTTTGCTTCTGTTTTTTTTTTCTGATGAGGAACAGGTACCTCTCCATCCTTTGCAACTCTGATTTCTGAGGTATATGGCATTCTTTCACTTTCTTCAGTAATTTTTGATGATTGCACTACTTCGTGAGCATTTGAATTTCTTCTCTTAACCCTCTTCTCAGACATTTGTATTCATGTTGATGCTTTTCTGTTCCAGCAATACACAGATCCATGTCTGTCTTAACCTTATCACCTTCATGATTTTTTTCTATGGTCTATGGTCATGATACTCTGTTTATCTTGAACCTCAGTCACTAGAATCTCACTTTCCCATTTGGGGTGCTCCCCCTCGCTCCCACTTTGTTTCTTACTTATCTGCAGTTTACTCACATTTGTTTTACCATCGTGCAGCATCTTTGCTATTTGTCTAAACTTTACATTCTTTAGGAAACTCTTCATTGCAACCCCAACAGTTTTGATGGAGATACTCATTCCTACTTGTTTGACCACCTTGGGTTTGATATTTTCTACTGCTGTGGCTTTCTTGATGTGGTTTCTTTGTTTTTGGTATTTACTTAGTCAGGATTCCTTACTTTCAGGTATGTACCTCCCTCCTTCTTATCTCTGAAACCTCTGTCTTTTTCATTTCTTTTATAACAACTTCTTTTGAGGTGTTCCCAATTCTTTGGAATCTAGGGCTGAAGCTGCTTGCCAGTGGTCTTCCCTGTTTTCCCTTGTTTTATGATTTACTTGATTGTGGGTGTCATAACATGTTCCCCCATCCTCTGTCCTGGAGATTTTCCCTTTTCTGTTCCTCATGTTATTGCCCCTTCTCACCATTCCCCTTTGCAGAGCTGGCTGTTGCAGTTCACAAAGATGACTAGTCTTGTGTGTTGCCTCTCACTTCCATTCCTGTGGACTTCCTTTGCCAATGATGTTTGGGTCATGCAGGTGCTTTCTTGTGGGTTGTTTCTGGGTTTTTGCATCTCCCCTCTCTCCTTGTCCAGATGTTTTTTCAACCTCCCCCAACCCCATGTGTCTGCAGCATCTCCACTAGCCTGTATCCTCTCTATTGGCTATGGAAGCTGTAGAGTGGGTTTTATTCCTGTTTTTTTTAATTCTCAAGAAGAATGGGGATTAGCACCTTATCATTAATTTATTAACCTTGAACCTCTGTTTCAACGTTTCTTGGTTTAAGATGGATGGTTTTCTCAGTCTGAGATGGCCAATCTCTCATATATTGTGGATGACCAAAGTTTATATTTCCAGTGCATTTCTTCACAACCTGATTTGTCTGTTGGCATGCCATTTCCTCTGGTTTGTTCACAGTAGTCAGGTTTTTCAGTTCTGGCCCTTTATGTTTTCAATTTGGTTATGCGAGCATTAACTCAGTAAATGCATTATTTGGGTATTCACATTCATTCTTATATGGATGATTGGCTCTTTCAGGAAACATTTCATCTGTATTGACTGGTCAAGTGCTCCAAGTCTGACTTGACCCATACTCAATATCTAGTCCACCCGGATATCTTTCTCAGTTCATATGCAGGGCAGGTCAAGCCATCAGCTTTGTATCTTCACATCATAAAAATTCTGGTTTCGAAGACTCTTTGGTCTTCTACTTTAACTGTACAAGGGGTTCTCTTGCTTTGATGAACTCTGGCTTCCCTTGATTCCCCTATTTTTCTTGGGCATACCTGTAAGCATCCTCTTCAGTGGACTTTGGGTGATAAATGGAACATGCACTGGGATTCCTTGTAAGCTCACATGACTTTCCCTTCATTTCTACATCCTTCTACGTTGTGGTGGCTTGATCACTCCAATAAAACTCTAGTTATTTCCCTTACCCCATTTTCGAGCTGATCTGAATTTTTACACAAATGTCTCTCTTTCCAGGTAGAGAGGTGGTTCTGGACACTTCTCCTGTCTCTTGAGTTTGATCTTCAGAGAACTGTATCCTTCATATCCTGGCAGTGTTGGTTGTTTATCAGCTTGCCAGTGTCTTCATTTTCATTTCATGTGTCTTATGGTGATGGTTTATTCAGAAAATGTCATGGTTGTATCACATAATCTGTCAGGGTGGCATTTGTTCTCAGGATCTCTGCTTTTTTCAAGGGGTTTTGAACTGGTAGTGGATTGCTTGTCTCTTTTGGACAGAATCCTTCCAATGGAGTGGTCTCTCCATCCTTTTGTATTTCAATGGACTTGTTCCCACTTTGGAAGTACTCTGATTAATGCCTTTGTGACTCCCCTGGATATCAAACTTCCTCTGTTTGTTCTCCAATCCTAGACTGTACAGCACTGGCTGTAGATGTTCTGAGTTAGAATTAGTCCAACCTTTTTCTTTATCTGTCCTCCTTGCCTTCTTTCCTGTGTCTTGTTTCTTATTTATAAGACTACTTTTATTTTGTTATGGTTTTGTTTATCATTCACTTATTATTCCTTCTTTCTTTTAGTTCAGCTATTAATTTTGTTATATTAAAACACTAACTCACCTTCTAGGTAGAGTACGTTGAATTTGAGCGTTTGTATTACAAAACCGACACAAGCTCCTCTAGTGGTGACATACAGATATTAATGTTGTGAAAGGTTATGGAAATTAGTTAGTCACATGAGATGTAACCTCATAGTCTAACCACTAAATAAAATGCTTGCTTAATTTTAAATGAGATAGTTCATGAGATATACTTAGAGTGAATTATTGCTGATTGTTACTCAATACTGTTATTGATTTTGAAGTGGTTTAATTTTGGAATATTGTTGTTTTTGTTGAATTAGTTTTTTCTTCTTGTGACACTTTTCCTAATTCTTGTATTAATTGAATTAAATAACATTGATATGTATATTGTCTTGTTTATTAACATTAGTATCTAGTCCTAGCCAGACACATATTTACTAATTGTTCTTTTTTATGAGTTATAGAATTTATATTCCAAATGTTTGAAAGTTTTATTTTCTATTTCAGTGGTTGTTAAAGGTAAATAAATTGTTTTTCTTTACCCTTGGCTGTAGTGGTGTTGTGTTTTTGCTCGTTACAAGGTCATATGGGAGTGGTAAGAATATCTAAAGTGGGCTATTTGGAGTGAATAAGTGTCATGTGATACAGAGAAGTGAAGATTGAGAATTTATTCAAATACTTCTGTTTGAAATGAAGAAATTAAAACTTATATAATATTAAAAGTTGATTTAATGACTATGTTTTGATGCCAGTGTTTCTTATAAAATAAAGTAGTTCAAGTCTTGAATGTAACTCTGCAAAAATTCATAATAAGTGCACTTTTGTCTCCCACTCATGCATCTATGGTCATAGGTTTAACAGATGTAGGAAAGAAAAACTGGAAAAGTTAAATTATATGAAACATGTAAAGAATATTTAAAAATTGAAACAACTGAATACATTTGTTACCGAATAAGTCATCAAAACTATACAATAGTAATCCATATGTGTGTATACAAGAAAAATTGAATATAATCCATAATTTTAGTAGACATCTCTTTACAAAAAGTTATCACATCTTATAAAATGATAAGTTAATTGTATGATGTAAACTGGTTTCAAGAACATGTATTTTTATCCAACCAGATTTCAAGAAAGTAAATGTATTTTAGAAATGGTGTACTTTAATTAAGGTGTTAAGAATGAAGTAAATACAAAATATTCAACTTTTATTGTACTTCATTACAAAAAAATCTTAAACTCACAGCTGTTATCAGTGGCTAGTGTTACAAAGAAATATGTTAATTAACACATATTAAAGAAAGGTGATTCACTTTCTTAGATAACATCATTTTTTAACTGTGTACAGTGGTAGAAAGCTTGTATTTAAAAAAAGGCTAATTAGGTCATTGTTGTAACAAAATATTGTGTATAGATTTACCAGTTATTTAATGTGGATTATTGTTTGCTGTAATTTAAAGTAAAAGTAATGTTTTAATTTTACTTGACAGGAGAGCTCCTGATTCTGGTGGTATTGTATGTGGAATGCACATCTTTATGAATAGTACTGAAACTTCTAGAAGTAAAATGACTAAGGATGACATTTTAAAAGACATAAAGTCACGTGCTTTAAAATTGTTTTATACCAAAACCTTCTCTAATGTCAGTGTGGAAGTAAATATTTTAGGTAAGCATATAATTTAAGGTTTTCTGAGAAGTTTGATTAAAGTTTTGTAAAAAATTGTAAAATTATTAATGCTTGTTCTTTAAAAACACCACCATATTATGTAATTATCCGATCTCTGCAGTAACTACACATTCTAGGTTCTAATGTGTGAAAGACTGGGTTGTGATTTGGTAAAAGTCAATGAAAGAAACCAGTTTAGAAATGTTACTCACTTCTCTATAGAACAGATAGCTATCACTTAGCTCTGCAGCTGAAACATTTTTTTTGTTCATTTGCCAAACTTTGAACAAAACTTTCACTCCTACACATATCAATGTGTAGTGCAGCAACCAATGATTTAATCATCATTAGACTATAACCCTCCACCATAGGTAGATAATACGTCCTCCATACACAGTAGATCCCCGTAAGCACTTGCACCCGAAATTAACTTCATTCTTATCCTCAGCATTGCCTTTAATGGATGTTGTTTTTTTTTCTTTTCACTTTAAACTTAATTGATTTTGTGAGATTTGTGCTGCCTTATCACAGTGTTAACTTTCTTGAATATATTTTTAGTTTGTTTTAATTTTGACATATTTAGCAGTATTGCCAATAACTAACTCACCAAAAAAAGAAATATATCTAGAAAATTACTACGACAACCACGTATTCTCAGGTGATAGTGACTATTACCTCCTCAAGAGGTTCTGGCAATGTTGCTAACACTGTCCGCACTTTTTCTATGGTTACTGGAGGCTCATTGACTGTGTAAGATGCTACTGCCATAGTTCATTGTATTGTGGGTTATTTGATGCCACCCTCCAGTGGCACAGCGGTATGTCTGCAGACTTACATCACTAGAAGCTGGGTTTCAATACACATGGTGGGCAGAGCACAGATAGTCCATTGTGTTGCTTTGTTCTTAACTACAAACAAACTTATCTTTGATGCCTTCCTTGTCTTATTTCCCTGTCCCTACATCTGAGTGGGATCCCCTCTTTCTGAACCAGACCATGAGAACCACAACTTTGATTGGCTGTTTCCACCTGCTCTTTACTTGTTAATGATAATGTTCTTCCTCCAAATCTCATTGTGGATTTGATTACTCAGGTTTGTTCTTTACTTTCCCTTTCTCCTATGTCTTTTGATTCTCCCCTTTTCTTACTACATGACTATTATGCTGAGGATTATTTGCTTTTTCCTACTTCTCCAGACATATGTGCCCAGGTGGTTAGGATGTTCAACTCTCAATCTTTGGGATGCATGTTCTAACATGCTCACCCTTTCAGCCATAGGGCATTATAATATGACAGTCAATCCCATTGTTCATTGGTAAAAGTGTAGCCCAAGAGTTGGAAGTGGTTGGTGTTGACTAGCTGCCTTCCCTCTAGTCTATAACTGATAAATTATGGATGACTAGCACAGATAATCCTCATGTAGCTGCATGAAATTCATACTAAACCAATCACACATTGCAGCTGGATCCACTTCTACTCTAAAATGTCTCATACTTCTTGACTCTAAAATTCTTTCACCATTATGGCCACTATTCATTTTTGTTCTTCAATTCCCAATCCCTAGAGTCCTTTATACCTGCTTGGAGGACTTATCCTCATCTCCTTTAACACACACTAATGCTCAGTTTTCTCATCTTCACCTTTGTATTTTTTACCCATCTTCAAGAGAGTTCTGCTATATGAAGCTGTACACTGGAATTCTTCGATTCTCAATCCCTAGAGTCCTTTATACCTGCTTGGAGGGCTTATCCTCGTCTCCTTTAACACACACTAATGCTCAGTTTTCTCATCTTCACCTTTGTATTTTTTACCCATCTTCAAGAGAGGTCTGCTATATGAAGCTGTACACTGGAATTCTGATCATTTTTCTGGGGATCTGTGGATGGTCCTTGTAAATATCTTGGCCAGGTTTTTGTTCCTTTGTTGTTGGGACTTTCTGGAATGTGTTTCTCTTCTCTCTACCATTGATATTCCTCATTCTTACCTTCATGACCTCTGTCTGGCTCCTTTTCTTTACCACAAAGTCTTCAGGGGTGTTCCTAGTGGAAACTCAGGCTAAGCCTGCCCAAAACAAGTCCACAACTCTTCCCTTTTTTTACTTCATTTCTCATCTTTCACAGCTAGCTCAAGTCCCTAAGGACATGTCTGTTTTTGTTTTCAGACTTTGGACACATTTTACAACCAACCTATGAGTCATTCAGTTTTTTTTCTTATGGCCTTTCTCTTCACTTCTCATCTCTTCCTTCTTCCTCATTCCACTTTTTCTTTCTCCTACCAATCATTAGCATCTTCTGCATCTTGAGTCCATGGTACTAGATCTTTTGTACAAAAGAGTCATTGAAAGAATCCTTTGGACTTTCTACGGTTTTATTCTCATATTTTTTATAGCCCCACAAAAAACTTGAAACTGTATCCTGTTATGAACCTTTTATAAGTTTTAGGAACTTCTTAATTTTTTATATTCATACTTTCAAATATAATTTATATGCATTTATTGTCATAGTTGCATACCCTTCACCCCCCTAACAGTTCTCTGTGTCCTCTTCTCTTGAGGGTGTACCCCAAAGTTTGTGCAACATGTATCAATACCACCAGAATTTGCTCCAAATGGAAGCTAAGATCCAATACACTCAGTCTTTTCTGTTTCATGTTCTGTTAATGTGGAGGTTATCTAGTAATGAAGAACCAAGGTACTATATAAACAATGTATGAAGTAAGAATCTTGTTAAAACTTTGCATATGTACTTTTTCTTTTGATCAACCTTGTAACCATGAGACTATACATACTATAACTCTGAATTTGTAAGCTAATCTTCATGAAATTTGACAAGCTTTTAGTAAATTTTACTAGTCTATTATCACAAAAAATTCACACTTTGAATTAAATATTTTTACTAAATATTTGTCTGTGAATTTACCCAGGCCTTACTTAGTCAGTCCAGTTGTAAGGCGATTTTCAGGTTAAGAATAAAAATATTTTTTTCAGCTCTCAGTTCTCATGTATAATTGCCTAAATGAATATCAAAAGTGTTTTACAGTAAAACTCTATATTCTATCTGTTTTTTCCTCTACCTTAACACACAATAAAGATTCAGTCCATTTGAATGGCCTAGTAACCACCACTTAAAAATAAATCTAAATTACCCTTTTTTCTTTCTAGAATGACTGCATATTATAAATGACAGTTAGTTACTTCTCTAAACTTTTTACAACTGTTTTCATTTTATTTTATTCTTTTTTGAACTATATCTAACTATTAAACTAGCATAACAAAGCAATAAATCACTTTACAAAATCATAGTGCATTTTACAGTAAATGAAGCATTGAATTACATCATGCATGAGCAGCTTGCAAGTATTGATTGCAGAGAACTGTTATATTTAATTTTCTTCTGTAATCTAATAAATTCCCAATTTTATCATATAATAATAAATAACAATATGAATAAAAAACAAAATATTTAGTACTTAAACATGGGTCCTGTACTTTTAGCAGTCTAAATCTCAATAAATGTTAACCCAAATTGTGGTAGGGTTGCTTTAAGTACATTACTGAATTTATATATTTTTTCAAACATTCAGTTTAGAACACAAAGTAATAACATCCACAAAGAATACAGTGTTCTATCTAACTGGCTTTCAACTAAGCTGTAAGTGGTTTAAAATAATTTCCTTGGCTAGCCAAGGTGACTTAGTGGTAGCATAGAACAAAATTCTAAGCAAAATAATTCAAATCTTGTCATCAAAATAAGGTAGCCTTGTAAGGAATTCAGTAAATTAAAATATTTTTTTCCTATTGTTATAAATAATCCAATAGCAAATGTCAGAAAGAAGTATTGACAATTTTGAAAGACAGAGGATGATAGGAGGTCATGGCATGTGGTTTTGACTTCCTGGTTTATATCTTGGTAAAGTAAGAAAATTGGAGGCTACAACTTTAGATTGTCTTAACAACCTTTATGCTATAATTGTATAATTTGTATTGATATTTAGAAGCTAAATTAAGAATAGAGATAATATTTAAAATAAACAATTGGGAACAAAGTGTCATGTAATATGGAAATGTGAAGATTGAGAATTTATTTAAATATTTCCCTATGAAATTAAGAAATTGAAACTTAGATAATATAGAAGGTTAAATTATAAACTAGGTTTTAATGCTAAATTTATTAACATACATTCATAATAAAGTAGTTTAATTAAATTTTAAATGTAACACTATGTAAAAAGGTTATGACGTGCACATTGATCTTACTACATCAAAATGGTTAAATTACATGAATTAAAGCTTAAATAACATAAAATGTTGAATTATAAACTAGGTTTTGATGCCAAGTTTATTGATGTAAATTGGTAATAAAAAATAGTTTAATTAAATTTTAAATGTAATTATATAAATAGGTTATGAGATGTGCACTTTGACCTACCTGCATCAAAATGGTTAAATTACATGGAATAAAGTCACATATTGAACATTAACATTCATGAATATCCAGTTATGCTAAATGTTATATTAAGCTGCTTTTCTATAATTAGCCATTTAATTTCACTTTCATATATTTCAGCTTTTAAACATTCACCTTTTAAAAGTAACATAATTGCAGAAGAACTAGAGGAAATTTGTGTGTGTGTGTTTTTCACTAGTTTCTGTTTCTTCATTGCATTTATAAAAAATTGTTACCCATTTCTGTACTTTGTTTTAGAATTAGTTTTAACCAGCACAGGTACCATAAGGAACATTCAGCTCTGATCCAGAAGTAGATGTTTTTTCCTGAGCTAAACACACCAATGTTTTTACCATAGGATAAAAGATTTATTATCAACTTACTTCAATTCATACTTCTGATAGGTTTCATTTAAAGAAAGTAGTAAAAAAAAAGCTGTTATATGAAGAATGACTTTTTGTATTATTGTTCTTTTAGACTATCAATTTTAATTTGTTCCCACTAATAACTTCTCTCCTTATTTGCCACTACTTTAATTACTTGTTTCACTAATAAAGAAGACAATTATTTTTCATCTTCCTACTGATAAAGAACTCATTTTCTTTTTTCTCACACCTTTTATGAAACAGAACCGAAAGGGGTAGGGTGCACAACTTGTTATCTCATGTACCTCTTCTCAAACCAATATGTATATATCTCTCTCATTCTGTTTGTCATCATTAGATTATCTTTTAATAAGTGGATCTTATGAAACTATTTTTTTTTCTCTTTCAGCCACAACTACTGTTGTAAATATATTATATATAAATTTTACTGTCTACATATGTGATTTGTTCTTGAAACCATCATTGAATTGTTGCTTCTCTTCCAATATTTTCAGAACGTTCCTCACATACAGTTACTTTTTTTAAGTCTAATATGAAATATAGAACAGATATAAAGTATAATATACCAAGTCTTGCACCAACTATATTAGTCACAACTGATTTCTGCACCCTTTATCCTTTTTTGTGACTGGAAAGAATCCATGGATGTAAAGTAACCAGTGATCTTCTGTTCTGTAAATCCCTATCAAAATACTTATTCTGTTAAAGTCGTTTTTATCAGTATATTTTGTAAGTTAATTTGAATATACTAAATATCAATTAGTAAATATATGTAGGAGTACTAAATGGGAATTCACATTGTATAATTTCTTTTACAGATTTTTGTGATAAACAGGTGAAACAAATAAGAGGTCAAAATGTTACATGGAATGAAACTCGCCATACAAAATTTGCTGTTTCTGATCCCTACTGTTTGAATGGTAAGAATTTTTCAACTACTTTATCTGATATATCTTAGTTGGCCTGATAAAATCTGCTATTAAGAGAAAGGCCTTGTTGGCAGATGTTGTGTGGTTGACATATTACATCCTTCTTTGCTTTTACACAATTATTCTTAGAATTACTAATCTAGTTTTCACCTGTTGGAGCTGTGGTTGTTTGACCTGTGTACAAGAAGACAGCTTGCTGGTTCACCAGTTCTTCTGTATGATAGTAAAGTTAATTGCAATGAAATTATGACACTAAAAATAATAAATTTATGTTAAAAATAAGAAAATTAATAGATGATATTGTGTTATTAGCCCTTACCCTTAAAAATCTCATTTGCAGATTACTTAAATATAATTTATAATAATTACAATTAAATTATTTAGTCTGATTCACAGAAATTCATTGTTCAAGAAAATTTATGATATAAATAACACCAAGACCACTACTAGGTTTGTTGTGTATCAGCCAGCATGATGAGCTGTGGTTTTGGGCAAAAGGCTTTATCAGCACTGGATATGGCAGATGCTTTGTAGTTGACATATTATATTCTTCTTTTCTTTCAATTCGTTACTTTACCTTTTATTTATTTCCGACAAGGTAACTTAATTCCTATCACATATATAGATATTCTCAGTCAGTGCTGCCCTCTATTTCCAAAAATATTTAACATGCCACAAGCCTTACACACTCATGCACCCCTCAATTTATATGGTTTAACTGATTCTCATATGTAAATTATCATGTAACAAACCTCCATCAATAGTAGTGCCACACACCCACATGACTCATGTGACTCTCTCTATGCTATTCTACCTAACTATCACTTCTCATTTGGCAGTGCTCTTGTTCAAATGTTTAGTTTGTGCACTCTTCAAGTTTTTTGTTTTTTTTGTATCTTCGTATCAATTTCTCTAACTGTGTTTACTATTTATTATACAATGGTGATATTTGTAATTTATTCCGGAGTGGAATTATTTTATATTTCTACCCAGCTATGGAACTTAATGCTTCATTACAAATATTTTTCTACTTTTTATTTCTTTCTGCCAACATGTTTGTGTTTGGTTGTTCATTTTGAATATCAATTCTAAGTAACCATTTCAGAAGTTATACCTTCTATCAGCCCATTTACACAGGCTTCAGGTGGTAGTCCTCATTTGGGGAATTATCAGCTTTACTTCATCGGGAGATTGATCATCCTATGAGCTGACCTTCGTCAAGCCTTGAGTTTGGGGGCCAATACATTTTGAAATATGGTCCTCCAACTTTGGAAAGAAAAGGCATTATACTGTTATGATTTTGGAATATTTTTACAATTAGTATTATTATCTGTAAATATTTGGGTTCAATAACACAAGTCTAGTTAGATTGGTCAATACTCATAGTTAAGTTTAGGTTTAAAATTAGAGCTTAGTTCTATCCTTTGTCCTATAACGTTAAGCTAGGCTTATCATGGATCTCTGTTATTTTAGGATTACCTGTAATTCATCTTACTGGTAAATCGTAAATTAAGTTAACTATGTTGTTTTTTCTTCAAAACATTGCATTTCATAATTATGTTATTGTCAATACACACCTACTTAATTTCATAATATAGTTTCATTTTCATTATTATATATCTTTTATACTTTTTCTTATTAACTTTGCTTTTGTGAACCCCTGGAGCTGGGGTCCACATGAACTTCTCCCAGTATTGTACATATTATTGTTAAGTTAGGGTTTTAAGTTAGAGCTTTGTGTTATACTTTATCCTGCATAGTGTCTGTTATTTTCAGGGGCATCGAGAGGCAGCCCAGGCCCTTGGGTGAGTAGTATCATCGGGTCCCCTTTCATTCTATTAGGTTGTCAAAAAATTAATGAATTTTGTATAGGATTGAGCCATTGTTTTTGCCATTTGGTGTTCACATAGAGAACCCATTTTTCCTCACCAGTGACATTTCTGTCCAAAAATGGTTCATGCGCCAGAAGAGATGAAGCAACTTTCACACATTGGAAACGATGACCATCAGAGAATTCGTGAGACACCCAAACACCTTCTTTATAGAGATCGTCTTTCCAGTTCTGACACACTTTTCCCCAAGGAGTAGCCTCTCGATTCCTCAAATTTTCGGTGGCTGTGCCTCCTTTGGTGTACTCCTCTATGGGATGCATTTGACTTCTTTCTCAATTCCAAGTTACCTCTTTTGTTTTTGGTTTCTTGTTCATCATTCACTTGCTCTGGCTGTTGATACATTCAGACAGGACTAGATCCAGTTTATAACTTAAGTTTTTCTCATTCTGTCAGTCTTCTTCCCAAGGTAATTTTGATCATCCATGTTACTCCGTGTCAGGTCTTTCTAATTGCTCCTTCCTGGCCAGATCTGTTCTTCTTGGCTGTTTAGGCTCGATATGTCCTTTTTATTCTGGATCAATTTTACTAACTCATACTTTGGGGGCTCATCTGGAATATTCTTTTTGTTATTTTCATTTTTTTGTCATCTTCCACCTTTATTCTCAGTCAGATCTGGATTACCTTCTCTCTCCCGTACATGCTCTGGGTAGCTTCAAGGCTTCTTTCTGTTGACTCCTTTTCCCACAGTTTCATTCCCTTGTACCACTCCTCTGTTCATGATTTTTTTCCCTTTCTCCCTTACTCATTGGGTTGGGCTTGTGATTCAGTTGGCCTTTTACTCCCCGTTAACTTCTTCCTCTAATCAATTTCTGGTGTCTTCTCTCCGGTCAGGCACCTTACCTTTTACCTGCATCTCAAACCAGTCATCTGTTGGAGGAAATTCATCTGTCGAGCACTGTGACTACACCTCATATATTCATCTCCCATTATCTACTTTAGGTGGCTGTTTCTTCCTTGTTGGGGTACCATCTTTCACTTGTCACCATCCTTTGCTCTTTAGTGAGACTGCCATTAGTTATGTTTTCTTTCTTCTCATATATTATATTATTTTTCAGGGGCCTGTCCTATGTTTTGCCCAGGATCCCACTCTGTTGTGAGAGGTGCCTGTCCAGTTATATTTCAATCACTTAGAAATGTACTAAAACTCGCACTTTAAGGCCATGTTGACTTCATTTTCATAATTTCCATGGCCATGAAACACACACTGTTCATTACAATCATATAAACTACAGATGGGGTGTTCCACAAGATTGCTCATAGATTATTCCTCATGATTTCTTTGCTTCATAAATATGCCAATTCCACACCATACCAACCTATAGATTTCATGGGTAAAGTAGAAGGGGATTGCTGCCCATCCCTGCCATTACTTAGATTGGGTTCGGTCATCCTGCCCCTGCATGAAAGCCGTTTCCCAGCAGTTGAGTTTTGGATTTAGAGCTGAACCAATCGACATGATGTACTCACACATGTAGTGTGATGATATAAATGCAGTTCACCCCTTTGATTGCGATCGCTCATCCTGCCCCTGCATGGATGTCAGTTCCCAGTGGTTAAGTTTTGGATTTAAAGCTGAAATAATTAACATAAGTCCTCACATGTGTTCAGAGTATCCCTGGTCCCTCACTCAATTTTCCTCAAATGCACTATCCCTGTGTTGTGGGTCAGGGTTGGTGCCCTTGTTGGTTGCCTCAGTTCTTCCTCTTGCACTGCCTGTTGATGTCTTTATGCCAAGGATGTTACTATGTTTGAGGTGGTGCCAGTCTGTTTGATTTTTGTGGGATATATATGTTTGTTATTTCATATCTGCTTGCATGTTCCCTGTTCACAGATCAGTGGTGGGATTTCTCCCTTTGTTCAGCTGAAGTTTCTTATCCCTGCATGAATGTTAGTTTATGGCAGTTGAGTTTTGGATTAGAGTTGACTTACTGATGGTATGATCCTCATCATAACCCCACATGGATGTCAGTTTCTGGCAGTCGAGTTTTTGGACGTAGTTGACTTGCTGTGTATGGTCCGTTGCACCATAGCCACTCTACACCATGGAGCACATCCCTTATTTTACCCACATTCTGTTCATCAGGGAGATTGAAATTATAATACATTGGGGTTAGTACCAGTGTCCAACACTTTTCTCTCCCATTGGGATGGGCTGTTCACAATTTTCCACCCAGATTTGTCACACTTTTTCCACATATGGGCAAAAGGTATACCTAGTACAGAAGTTATGTGGTCTCCCATGTATAATTCTCTTATTAGAGGGTCCTCTTGTTAGGGTGTCCTCAGGATGCTTTCAAAGGGTGCTTCTACTTTTTCCCTCACACTAGTCCCTCCAACTATTCTATGTGGTATTCTATGTATGTGAGCTGAAGTAAGGTATATTGCTGGAAGTTATAATTTTCCTACCCTGAAAAAATATTTCCAACAGGTACTTACTTCCGCTCACACTTCCCACTTCCCACTGTCAACCAGTGTGTCTGTTTCTGCCTAAACTTGAAGTGATAACTAGGTAGAATAGCATAGAGGGAGTCAGATGAGTGATGTGAGTGTGTGGCACTACTATTGGTAGAGATTTGTTACATGATAATTTGCATGTGAGAATCAGTTAAACCATGTGAATCGATCAAGAGGTGTATGGGAGTGAAAGGCTTGTAGCATGTGAAAATTTTTTTGCAAGTAGAGGACAGCACTGAACAAATATAGCTATGTATGTGAGCAGAAGTAAGTTCTTGTTGGAAATATATTTTCGATGTAGAAAAATTATAACTATTGATTTTTAGTGTTGCTGAAGGTTATTCAAAAGAGTACTCAAGGTTTGACAGTGGAAACTATGACAACTCTGTTCTACAGTCCAAAAAAAAGGCTTTAAATGATTTTAGTAAAGCCTATCATGTTGTATATTATGTATAACTTTTTATGGCAAATATTATGTTTGACATAATATATTCTTTCTTTGCTTTCACTCTTAAGCTCTTAGGACTACAGCAAATTATGTAATTAAAACTATGTTGAAACCATGACTAAATAGCCAAATCAAATTTGAATACTGTAGGTATTCAAAGTTAAGATCTTAATCTACAGCCTACAGCTTATGAAATG